TTCTCTGGCCCCCCTCACAACGTCTATTGAAGCAGTCCTATTTCCTATAATTGCTTCCGTTTTGGTATAAATGTTTGTGTCTTCTTGGTATATCTTGCAAAATTTGGAATACATCTTACTTAGTTCCTTGTCTAACAACAAACCATTCCAATTAATTCCATTAAAAATTACATTACTCCCATATTTTCCTTTCTTAAACTTGAGTTTCATTGAGTTTTTACTTTCTCCATTACATTCTGTGCATATTTTACTTCTAAGCATACAAGGTCACTCTTACCTATTGGAGGTAGGTACTCTTATATCATAGATCTCTACCTCATTAGGTACAAATTAGGTTTAGTACTCACTGTACTCATTAGGTTCAGTACCCTTCCCTCATTCTCAGTGGTTTATAGCATGCTGGTACAGTACATTAATACCTCCAGAAAGGAATAATCATGTTTACGAAACTTAATTGAATTCTATGACAGGGTCACTACAATAAGGCAAGGGAAGGCAGGATGGGTAGAATGCATCTTTTCAGACTACCAAAAAGCTTTTGATACAATTCTTCATACAAGACTTGTACACAAGGTGGAAATACAAGTAGGGATAAAAGGAAAGGCTGAGTATGGGAATACTTGACGGACAAGAAACATAGGATCATAGTCAAAGAGGATATGGCTGGCTGGCTGGAGAGTACTGGAAAATGGTGTTCCACAGGGCTCTGTGCTAGGTAAACGACCTTAAAGGAGTGAGCTAGTACATGTCAATGTTTGTAGATGCTGCGAAGTTAACGAGACGAGTAAGAACTGAAGAAGACCTTAACAAACTTCAGAACTGGGAAGATAAATGGCTGCTAGAATTCAATCCAAGTGTAAAATAAAGAAATGTGTAAGGGAGTACTTCGCCAGTACTTTGCCAGGCATCCTAGAGTCACTAGGTGGGTCCCCTCTTTCAGGCACACAGTATGTGCACGGCTCTACAGTAGTGTGGCAGACACTGTAGAGGATTAGTCTTCTTCTAGGTTCCATTCTCCGGCTGCTTCCCAGTGGTTCATTGTCTATATCACACGGGTCTTAACTGAGTAGTTTGGCTTTTGGATTCTTGTGGTGTGGTTCTATACAAAGTTCACATACTTGTAATTACCTAAGTGTAGTTACAGGATGAGAGCTACACTCGTGGTGTCTCGTCTTCCCAGCACACTTTGTCGTACTGTATAACGGTTTGAAAGTACTGTACTCATGGTTTTGGCCTCCACCACCTGCTCACCTAACTTTTTCCAACCGTCTACCACTCTGTTTGCGAAAGTGAATTTACTTGTATTTCTTCGGCTGCTTTGTTTAGTTAGTTTAAATCTATGACCTCTTGTTCTCGAAGTTTCAGGTCTCAGGAAGTCTTCCCTATCAATTTTATCGATTCCTGTTACTATCTTGTGCATAGTGGTCATATCGCCTCTTTTTCTTCTATCTTCTACTTTTGGCATATTTAATGCCTTGTGTTGGCAACGTTGTCTTAACTTTCTTCTGGATGGTCTCTGGGTTATATCTCATTTCCAAAGAATGGACAATAGACAATGTGTCTTTCCACTGGCTTTGAGACATTTAGTCACCCCAAGGTGAAATTCTCTTTATCAGCATGGAATTAGTGGTCTCTGCCATATATGGCTACATTCCCAATTATAAAGCTCTTGCAGTGTATATCTTTTGGCTGGAGTGGTCAAGATGGGGGTTCATTTATTTCTTCCCTCAGATCCAGCTGTTGCTCCTGGAGACCTTCATGGGTGGAGTGAGTCTTGTGACTCCTTGGTGGCCAGATCCGCCTTGGTTTCTGGTTCTTCTGGACCAGCATTCAAAGATGAACATTTTTCCTTCGCTCAAAATTCTCCAATTTCCGCATCTGGAGTTTTTAATACTAGTCTATCATTTGTATGGTGAACAGGTAGTCTAGTTTTTTTAATTCCTTTATCCAATTAATAGTAGACCATCACCTGTGTATATAGAATACCACTTGAATGAACAGTAAATTTAAAAAAGTAATATTCTGCGCTTTACTGCTGCTGCTCCTAACTTTTATGAAACAGCATGTGAAATGTTGAAAACCTGTATGGCAACATGTATTGTACAGTGCAGGAATTACTTTAACAAATATTTGGGCAGTGTTGCCAAGTAACTGATTGTTCAAAGTATTTTTTTGTATTTATTCATTTTATGGTACAATAAAAGTGATAGTGAGGTCCCCTAGTGTTGGAGGGCCCTTGACCATGGCCTACTGGGCCTATTGCATAATCTGGGGTCTGACAGCTGAGTGGACAGCACTTTGGATTCGTAGTCCTAAGGTTCCAGGCTCGATCCCTGGTGGAGGCAGAAACAAATGAGCAGAGTTTCTTTCAGAGGCAAAGTTGCCTAGCGACCCCGGGCCACGGGGACGTTAAGCCACGAAATCATCTCAAGATAACCTAAAGATAGATCCGGCCCTGCTCTAATAGGGATGGGGGAAGGTAACTAACTACTGAGTGGATTGCTTGTTGCATCATTTCTTTTTTTATGTGAACCTTGCAGTTGTCTATTATGCTTTGCTTTTTTTCTGGACATATTCTTTGTGAGGGTGATCATATTGTCTTGATTTTGAGAAGATTGCTGATCCCCAAACGACAAGTTTGGGGATCAGCAAAAGTCTTATTGCCTATAAGACTTTTGCCTTGGCTTCCAGTAAGTCAGGCTGGGTCTAAAATGTGTGGTGCAGTTTCCTAAAGCTTGGCAACCCAAGTGCTTAAGCACAGACACTGCCAACCAGGGGGCAGATTCATGGAGCAGTTATGCAAGCACTTACGACCGTGTACATCTTTCCTCGATCTTTGGCGACTTTGGTTACATTTATTAAACAGTTGACAAGCATGAAAAAATCCTAATCAACTGTTGTTATTGTTATAAACAGCCTCCTGGTGCTTCGGAGCTCATTAACTGTTTAATAATTGTAAACAAAGCAGCCAAAGATTGACAAAAGCTGTACAGGTTCGTAAGTGCTTGTGTAATTGCTTTGTGAATCTGGCTCCTGGCCCTCTGAGAAATACCAGCTTCATGGGGTTCTGGAGTTCTTCTACTTCCCAAGCCCAGCCCAAGGCCAAGCTTGACTTGTGCAATGGGGACTGTTGTCAGGAAAATTGTTACAAACAGCCAAAACAAGGAAAGACAACTTTAACTCCTATGCCAGCATCAAATTATGAGCCATCACTACAAGAACAAGTATAAAATCCTCATGGTAAGGGATGAGAGGACCTAATTGAATAAACATATCACTGGGAGTATTGCTCTTTGTACAAGTACCTACATACAATATATTACTTCAGGAAGTACCCAAGGATGATCATCTTGGCATTATTGTTTATGCTCCACTACATATGTTTAGGAAATTAATAGGCATTACAAGTCAAAAATATATATTAAGATGCAATACAAAGTGGTTTGTGATGCGAGGGTTATCGCCATGACATGACACCAGGCAAGGTGAGTAGAGTTGTTCTCCTCATGTTGTTTTGAGGTTGGGTCTTCATGGTGTTTGGCATTTTATATGACAGTCGCCAGGATCATGAATTTACCTGAATTTACCTGAAGGCCACTATCCCTCTAGTGGCCTCGACAGGGACAAGAAGTCAACAGCTTGTCAAAGAAAGGTCGAGCCTAGCCTCAGGTTGGACTTGAGGAGTAGAAGAACTCCCCCCCCCCCTCTCCAGGTATCCCACCGCATTGTTCCTGATGTTTTTTTCCGTTTGTGTTTTGAACTGAAGTAATGTCTTGGCACTTATGGCTTCAGCACGTAGGCAGTTGCATGGGTTTCTAGCCTTATGGGTGAAAAAGCATCTCCTCTTTTCTGCTACATTTGACCTTTTAAAGGAGTGATCTGGAGCAATATCCTCCCACTTGTTCAGTACAGTATTTTAACTCGGTAATAAAATTAAATAATCCTTTTCTTTAAGTCAAAGGTTCAGTTAACTATTCCTAAGGTTTGGTTGCCTTTTTTCTTACTGCAGCCTGTGAGCGATCAAGGACCCCCCCCCATTAACCTTCGGTGAAGAATGGATGTACTGTAGTTGGTCCACTAATCCCAATATAAACCTATTATAGTGGTGCAGGCAATGAGTCACAATAATGTGGCTGAAGTATGTTGACCAGACCACATACTAGAAGTTGAAGGGACGACGACGTTTCGGTCCGTCCTGGACCATTCTCAAGTCGATGACTTGAGAATGATCCAGGACGGACCGAAACGTCGTCGTCCCTTCAACTTCTAGTGTGTGGTCTGGTCAACTATTATAGTTGTGCCTCTTACTATTTACCAGAGAGTGAATGCAGTGTTTAGACTTCTAAGTACACTACAGTATCACCATGAAGCAATGAATGCAGAAACTAACATAAATTACAGTATAAGGAAATAACCAAATTTCATTTTCAAATTGTAACTAGCGACACTTCACTAATTGCTTGTGGCAAGGTTTTCAGAGCTGAACAGTAGAGCTGTAAAATATAAACAAACCCAGTCATGTAACTCACTTTTGTCTATATTTAACTGAGCCTCTTCTCCACCCCCAACAAGCAATGGCAGGAGGATAAACATGAAATTCATATTTTATATTTGTTTTTATGATAGAAGAAAACTCTAAACGTGTAGTGTGTATTTGGCATGGTAAGAAGGTATAGTGGATGACAGGTGTGTCATTTGCTCAAACACCACTGGGCTTGGGTAGAAATAGGATGGGTGACCACATGGATTTCCTCGCCCTGTGCCAGAGGGACCTCAGTAACCCAATACGGAAAAAAAAAGAGACTTCCCAGGCCAACCTTCAAGGTTATAAGATGTGTCATAATCAAAGACAGTAAGTCTTATGTCTTATGACTAGATAGTCATAAGCCAGTGAAGATAAAAATGCACGCACGCATGTGCACGCATGCACGCACACACGCACGCACACACGCACACGGACTAATAAATAATTAATACAAACAGTAAGAATCACAACATACCTTCCTCGGAAGTCTCTGTAGTCTTCTTTTAATTTGCTTATTTTCCTTATCTACAACTGTCGTCACTCTTTCTCTCATATTAGAGTTAATTATCTCTCTCTCCTTGGAGATGGGAGTCAACACTTCGCGCATTTTAGGGGTCGCCGTTAAAACTTCCACATCCTTAGACTGTCCCGAGTTTACGAGCGCTCTAGTCGCAACATTTGCCTGACCAACGACAGAACTGTTTCCATCCCCACTACAAACACCACTAACAACTCCAGCTCCCGCCGGAACATTATTATAACAACTTCGTAGTTCGTTTATAGTTGCAAGGTCCTTGTTTTCTTGTATGTCACTGTCCCCATATTTCTTGGAGACTTGATCCAGATGTTGATTAAATTCCTTAATAGTCTGAAACAGAATAAGAAAACGGTTTTGTATAATCCAATATACATAACTTTAGCAATGGTACATAATTAATGCTTAACAAGCCTTGTTGAATCATTATTAATGCTTAAAAAGCCTTACTGAATCATTATTAATGCTTAACAAGCCTTGCAGAATCATTATTAATGCTTAACAAGCCTTGCGGAATCATTATTAATGCTTAACAAGCCTTACTGAATCATTATTAATGCTTAACAAGCCTTGCTGAATCATTATTAATGCTTAACAAGCCTTGCTGAATCATTATTAACGCGTAACAAGCCTTGCTGAATCATTATTAATGCTTAACAAGCCTTGCCGAATCATTATTAATGCTTAACAAGCCTTGCTGAATCATTATTAATGCTTAACAAGCCTTGCTGAATCATTATTAATGCTTAACAAGCCTTGCTGAATCATTATTAATGCTTAACAAGCCTTGCTGAATCATTATTAATGCTTAACAAGCCTTGCTGAATCATTATTAATGCTTAACAAGCCTTGCTGAATCATTATTAATGCTTAACAAGCCTTGTTGAATCATTATTAATGCTTAACAAGCCTTGTTGAATCATTATTAATGCTTAACAAGCCTTGTTGAATCATTATTAATGCTTAACAAGCCTTGTTGAATCATTATTAATGCTTAACAAGCCTTGCTGAATCATTATTAATGCTTAACAAGCCTTGTTGAATCATTATTAATGCTTAACAAGCCTTGTTGAATCATTATTAATGCTTAACAAGCCTTGTTGAATCATTATTAATGCTTAACAAGCCTTGCTGAATCATTATTAATGCTTAACAAGCCTTGCTGAATCATTATTAATGCTTAACAAGCCTTGCTGAATCATTTTTATCACTAATATCCAGAACATAATATCGTTTTACACTAGTTAAGTAAAAGTAAATACTGTACAGTATACTACAAATATACTGTATAAATTTACCCCTAAATCAACACCAACGTACTGTAGAGAAATGACTGTACTCAAGTGTTGTTCGGGTGATGGACGCCACATTGTAAGGCACATACACTACTGTACTACTATATCTTCATTACTTTAACAAATCGTCCATAGCTTTTTTTCATTGTAACCATCTTCACTACACACATTCTTAATCACTGTAATCATCATTATAATCCTTTTCACTGCATACCATTTCCACTATCCAAACACTGCTAGTTATCCCCGTCTACTATCATCATCATTTCACTACCTTCCCTCTCCTTGACGGGCCTGATGGCTGAGTGGACAGTGCTCGGGATTCGTAGTCCTAAGGTTCCGGGTTCGATCCCCGGCAGAGGCGAAAACAAATGGGCAGAATTTCTTTCACCCTGATGCCCCAGTTCACCTAGCAGTAAATAGGTACCTGGGAGTTAAACAGCTGCCACGGGCTGCTTCCTGGGTGTGTGTAACACAAAGGAGGCCTGGTCGAGGACCGGGCCGCGGGGACGCTAAACCCCGAAATCATCTCGAGATATAACCTCCTTCACCACCACCACCACTGTCCATCACTGCCTTCTCTATCCTTACACCACCTTCCCTACCCACCACCACCACCACTACTCTTCACCACTTTCCCTTCATCCTTGTAGCAATTTTCACTAAATACTGTCTTCATCAATAAACAAAATAAGAGAAACTAACATATAATCATGTATAAAATAATATTCTACATGAATAGAGGATGGAATTTGTTATTTAGTGAGATTGAAAATAAGTGTAAGTTCCAATTTCATGCCAATGATCATCCCTGGACAGAGACCAGCCACCCTGCAAAGTTCATTAACACTAGCCACAAGCATCTGGCCCTCAACCTCGAACAGACGCACACAGGGAAATATTCCGTTTTATAGGTCTAGATGTATTTATTTCAGAGGCAAACCAATATTTTAACTAAGTACTGTATTGTACACAGTACTGTACTAAAGCACAGTACTGTGCTTTATTACATGATTCCGATAGTTCAATACAATACAGTTTTTGCTTTTCAAGACATAATGCTTCTCAAGATCGCTGGATTTGTAAATCAACTGTATTAAATGGATTCCCCAACTTGACTAATGATGTAACTCTTAAATTACAAAATGCATTTATGAGATCCTCCTTAAACCTTAGATTGAGAAGCAAGACCAGAGAGCTGACGTTTATCCTCAACAAGCACAATTACGCAAGTCGAGCAATAGGAAGCAAAACAGACCGGAGCAGGAGTGGGCAGAAGTAGAAGTGGATGGGAAAGGGAATGGGTTTTAACACTATGTATGACTAGCCAGAGTTGTCTAACAAGCCAAATTTTTGTGAAATATTTAATTTTTCAAACTAATTTTTTTATGAAATGATAAAGTTTTCATTGTATTACAAATGATTGCAATTTTATGTTCCTTGTGTCAAATAACAAATTTTATCTAACCTAACCTATCCAATCCTATCATAATCTAACATAACCAAGTCAGTAATTCATGTTCCTTATATAATAGATTATTATTGTTAGAAAGGGACCAATTTGAAAAGAAATTTTTGAAAATTACGAAAATCATTCAGCCTGTTAGCACACCGGATCTTGCATACTAGACCAAGTACTGTAGTGCAGTTCTGGCTATTAGGCACATTTATATATACTGTACTGTATATATGTATATACAATACATTATATAGAGCTGTAGAGAGGAGCTCAGACTAGGCACCAGGATGGCTCGTGTGCTGTTCACACCTTACAAGGTTCCACCAGCTGTGTAAACAACCAATGAGGTTAGGTTAGGTTGTCAAGCCTTGATTGGGGTCAGGTTGACAAGCCTTGAGGTCAGGTTGGCAAGCCTTGAGATCAGGTTGGCAAGCCTTGAGGTCAGATCAGCATAGCATCTGATAGCCCAGCACGCCTTTGTTCCCAGTCTGTACACTTGATAGTCCCTGGTCATTTGTGGGAGGAGCCTGGCTCCTCTTGGATTTCATTTAAATAGCTATAGTAGAGAGAGTCTCTCTAGCTCTCACAAGTTAAGCCTGGTGTCGGGCCAAGCTTGGGGAGTAGAAGAACTCTCAGAACCCCCATCAAACAGGTATCAAGCAGGACATTCAGAGTTTCAGATCCCAAATTCAGTCATAATCAACGATAGTCCGACTCTAGGCTCTGTGAGGCAGGGAGAGGTCAGACTCGTGCCAGGGCACTCGTTAGTGTTGACTTTGGCGAGTTTGGTAGTGTGATAGTAATATTGTCTGTGTGTATTCACGTACTTGTGTTTGCGAGGGTTGAGCTTTGCTCTTTCGGCCCGCCTCTCAACTGTCAATTAACTGTTTACTAACTACATTTTTTTTCCACACCCCACACCCCACACCCCACACACACACACACACACACACACACACACACACACACACACACACACACACACACACACACACACACACACACACACACACCTCGGGCCTCTGTGGGGCCTCGTAGCCTGGTGGATAGAGCGCAGGATTCGTAATTCTGTGGCGCGGGTTCGATTCCCGCACGAGGCAGAAACAAATGGGCAAAGTTTCTCTCACCCTGAATGCCCCTGTTACCTAGCAGTAAATAGGTACCTGGGAGTTAGTCAGCTGTCACGGGCTGCTTCCTGGGGGGTGTGTGTGTGTGGTGTGGGGGAAAAAAAAAAAAAAAAATAGTAGTTAGTAAACAGTTGATTGACAGTTGAGAGGCGGGCCGAAAGAGCAGAGCTCAACCCCAGTAAAAACACAACTAGTAAACACACACACACACACACACACACACACACACACACACACACACACACAGAGGAATGTGTACGTCAGGGTGAGAAGAGAAGCAGAGAAAAGTTTTGAAAATGATATAGCAAACAAAGCCAAGACCGAACCAAAGCTACTCCACCGTCACATCAGAAGGAATACAACAGTGAAAGAACAGGTATTGAAACTTCGAACAGGCAAGGACAAGTATACAGAGAATGACAGAGGTGTGTGAAGAACTCAACAAGAGGTTCCAGGAGGTCTTCACAATAGAACAAGGTGAGGTCACTATGCTAGGAGAAAGGGAGGTAAACCAGGCGGCCTTGGAAGAGTTCGAAATTACGAGAGAGGAGGTCAAGAGACACCTGCTGGATCTGGATGTTAGAAAGGCTGTTGGTCCAGATGGGATCTCACCATGGATACTGAAAGAGTGTGCAGAGGCACTTTGCTTGCCACTCTCCATAGTGTATAGTAAGTCACTGGAGACGGGAGACCTACCAGAAATATGGAAGACGGCAAATGTGGTCCCAATATACAAAAAGGGCGACAGGCAAGAGGCACTGAACTACAGGCCAGTGTCCTTGACTTGTATACCATGCAAGGTGATGGAGAAGATCGTGAGAAAAAACCTGGTAACACATCTGGAGAGAAGGGACTTTGTGACAAATCGCCAACATGGGTTCAGGGAGGGTAAATCTTGCCTTACAGGCTTGATAGAATTCTACGATCAGGTGACAAAGATTAAGCAAGAAAGAGAGGGCTGGGCGGACTGCATTTTTCTTGGATTGTCAGAAAGCCTTTGACACAGTACCGCATAAGAGGCTGGTACATAAGCTGGAGAGACAGGCAGGTGTAGCTGGTAAGGTGCTCCAGAGGATAAGGGAGTATCTAAGCAATAGGAAGCAGAGAGTTACGGTGAGGGGCGAGACCTCCGATTGGCGTGAAGTCACCAGTGGAGTCCCACAGGGCTCTGTACTCGGTCCTATCTTGTTTCTGATATATGTAAATGATCTCCCGGAGGGTATCAATTCATTTCTCTCAATGTTTGCGGACGATGCTAAAATTATGAGAAGGATTAAAACAGAAGAGGACTGTTTGAGGCTTCAAGAAGACCTAGACAAGCTGAAGGAATGGTCGAACAAATGGTTGTTAGAGTTTAACCCAACCAAATGTAATGTAATGAAGATAGGTGTAGGGAGCAGGAGGCCAGATACAAGGTATCATCTGGGAGAGGAAATTCTTCCAGAGTCAGAG